TGAAAGGCCAAGAAGTTTCAGCTAGCTAAGGTTCATTTGCAGGACTGCAGCTTAATGCAGGTGGCTTCTGGTACAGCAATAATCTTGCTGTGTTTCATTATGGCTCTTTGAGCTGTCATTTTAAAAACCCATATATATCCTGAACACAGCTCTGAGGTCAGATCTGTACATCCTGTGCTCCTGCACACAGGTTGGGCTGTAGGAAGGCTCCTCTCCATGAAAACCATATCCCTGAGAAGCTCACTTTTCCAGCTCCTATACCAATCTGCTGCTTTGCCCTGGCTTCATGATTGTCCTTTGATTGCCCAGGTGGCAGGAGGTGTGCATCCGTATGCCAAAAGTGCTGAAAAGGAGTGGAAAGGTCTGACCCCACCTGCTGCACTTTTGAGCCTTATTTTCAATGTATTTCAGATTTCGCAAATTCATTATAACTATTTTTTGCCCTGCTAGCTTGAGAAAATAACACCGAGTTACATATGATTGCCTGACAGCAGTTTTACATGCAATAGCTGACATAAGGCTGTTCTTTAAGGAGCTATTGCCTGCGCTTTTCCTTGCCCCAAATGAGGAGCAAGTGACCAACGAGGTGCCAATTTGTGTTGTAAAAACCCAGTTTTTGTTTTTTGTAGGTCAGAGATGGATGGGTCTGAAATACTATGTAGATGGAAGAAATCAGCAGTGCAGAGAGTCCCAAGAGAAAGAGATGTCCCCCAAATAGGCAGCTGTTTCTCTACCATGAAAGTGAGTTGGGTGATGTGGGATTTGGATGGGGCACCCAGCCTGCCAACAGCCATCTGGGCAGTGGCTTAAGATACGGCAATGAAAAGATGACATGGAGAGGCGCTGAGGCTGGAGCCTACAGTGTAAAGGGAAACACGCCATGGATGAAATCCTGCTGCTTAAGAAGCATTAGCAGACACTCAGTTATCATCAGGGGACTTTAGCTTTTGTGGCATCCAAGATAGTTGCAGCTGTGCATTCAGATGGTGGCTGGAGAGGAGCAATAAGGAAACCACATCCGAGGGGCAGAGGAAGCCTCAGGGACATCAGAGGTGCCTATCCTCTACCTGTCCTGCTGAGCAAGAGTAGCCAGCTCTACCATTTGGCCAAAATCAGAATTAGGTAGAAAGAAGTGACAGTGCTCTGTGGATATCTGTTCCTTTGGTTCTCCTTTAAGTAGTAGGGTTGGGTTTTGATGCAGTTTGTTTCTCGTGCTTGTGGACATGTAATGCTAGGCAGAGCTTTCATTATTGGGGAGCCACAAATGAGAGATGAATAACACGGTTAGGTGCCAATGTTAGCATTGGCCCTGGATAACGATCGTGTCAGTAACCTGCATTAATTGCTCATGGCAAAAACAATGGGTTGGTTTTCCCTAGTTACTGTAATTACAGAGTGAGTCCAGTGGAAACAGTAGTAAAGTATAATTCACGTATGAGTAAGTATAATTATGTTGTTACTTGTTTCATAGTTAACAGGCAATTGTTGGATATATACATATGCAGTTTATATGTCACCATTGTGTGCTGGGTGGCTGGGAAAAGCCTGGCTTTGGAGTATGAGTAGCATCTTCCCCTGGTGTTGGAGGTGTGACAGCCTCTGCTCATCCTTTTGGTTGGAGGAAGTGATGCTTTGTCTCCTGACATTTGGTCCTTGGTGCTGTGGATAGTTTTTAGAATGCATCCTCCCTTCTATCGGCCTCTGCTTCTTCCTACTCCATGTTGAGGTGGCTGAAACATTTCTGGTTGTCCAGTGGAGTTTTTTAGTCAAACACCATGACAGAAAGTGCTCATAATGCTGGTGAGGATGGATGTGCGCACTGACAGTTGCTGCTAATACTATGGGGTTTTTAAAGACTAAATGTAGAATCTGTTTGGATCATATGCTGAATCTGCTAAATCATTCTGAAAGTAATGCCTCCTATTTATTTCTATGGAAATTATGATAGATACAAAGAACACGATAACACTATTTGGTAGAGCAAACTCTCAGCTACAGAACTCTGCTTTTCAACAGAGTCACTATCATTAGCTGTGTATTTTCACCAGAGATGAACAAGAGCCTGCATGCCGTGTTCATAAAAGTCTGCATGGAACATGGCTTGCTGTGGAGAGCAGATTGTGTTGGGGTTTTTTTGTTGTTTTTTTTTTTGTTTCTTTAATTATTTGGTTTTTAGATTTTTTTAATTGAAAGAAAAAAAAAAAAAAAACTACTGTACAAACTTAAATTTTCCAACAGAAAATTTCAGGTTGGCTACTGGAAGATTTGATGGGGGCAATCAAAACACAGCTGTTCTGGGTTGCTTAAGGGTCACACCAACGTGCTGAACTCCATTTGCTCACATCGATCAAGCCTCAGGTGAAAGCCCTGATCTGAGAACATACCATGATGTCCCGCTATATGTCTCATCAATCACACGACAGTTATGACTTCATTTTTCTTATGCAAAAAAAAAAGAGCAGCATTTCTGCGTTTAGCTGAAAACAAGTGCCAGTTAGCGTTCATTAAATCTATCAAATCAAATCAGTGAATAAGAATGAAAGAGTGAAAAGTGTTCTTTAATAATTGGGGTGAGATGGCTGGGATCGTGATTTACCCCTACCTAAGGAGAAGGAGTTCTTTCTCCAAGCATATCCTTGTTTTTCTGCTGGATCTTGGCTGTGAGCTGGGCAGGAGGCAGTTCTCATAGACTCACAGCAAGGCTACTTTGAGGCTGTCAGAGTTTTGGCTCTCAAAGCCTAATGGGGAGTCGGACTAGATGACCTTTAAAGATCCCTTCCAACTCAAAGGATTCTATGATTCTAATGTGACTTTGCCCCTGTGCAAATCCAAAGTATCACTGGTCCCCAAAGAACTGCTCCGCTGCTTGATCAGGGTGGGTGTGATAGGACACTTGCCATTGTGCCTGCTGTGTTTTCAGCAATTTTCAAGGGGCAGTTGACTTCTCCTAAATTTAAAATGTATTTCTATGGAAACTGTGAGGCTAGAAGAAAGATCTGAAAAAGTTTAGTACAGTGTTTCAGAGCAGCCAAGAGAATGGCAATAGACTGACATGCAATGATGTGTGGGATGCTTAAGTGTCTCAAAGGGCGGAGATACAGGTGGAGGTGAAGAGAAGCCAAGCACTGGCACAGGGGGGTGGTGGAGTCACTGTCCCTGGAGGTGTTCACAAACTGTGGGGATGTAGCACTGAGGGAAACAGTCAGTGGGCATTTTGGGTTGGGCTGGTGGTTGGACCTGGTCATGTTAGCGGTCCTTTCCAACCATAATGATTCTGAAGTAATGAAGGTGATAATGAAGGTGAAGGCAGGAGAAATGGAGGATACGGCCAGCCTGCCTGCATGCCCCTGCTCCCCTCACGTGACCATGGGCAGATTCTGGTTTTGGAAAGCAGTTTGGGCAAACTGGAACCAGGGAGTCAAAATGGAACGAGATGGTCTCAGCTGAGTACATTTGCCTTCCAGACAGAATCTGTATTCATTCTAGGCTGTCATAGTGAGTGCTTTGCTTTCTCTTCATTGCAGGTCAGATTGTCTGGAGAAATATTCCAGAGGCAAAAAAGCATTTCTGTCCATTGGTAATTACAGCAAATGACCAGTTCCTTTCAATATCCAGCATTGCCCACTGCAGAGAGCGTTCAGTGCTTCTTCCAGCAGGTCCATCAGAGCAAAGCACTTTCTTGCACAGCAGAACCTCTCCCTGGAGGGAAATACCAGCACATGGAGGAGCAAACCCTGCACAGCTCCCTTGGTGCAAAGTGTCCTTGTCTGGGCACAGAGGTCGGCAGTGGTGCAGCAGTGCCTGCACGGTGGCTATTTCCGACTGCCATAAAAATCTTTATGTCTCTGTGATCAGGATTCAGTAATGCAAATTTGCTGTGTCAAAAGAAGATGCCTCTGTAAATGAATTAGTACGAGAAGAACTTCTTATTTAAGAAGTGCTGACTCTGCACTCTCCCCTGTGCCCTCGCTTTTAAAATTGAAATCTGGGTTTGCTGCTTGCTATAATCTATATTTAGATACTTGTAAATGAAGTTTTGCAGTCACATGGCCGCATTCTTTTATGGCTTCATGAAGCTGCTTTTTTCACATAGCAGAGATTTATACTTTTGCGTTTACATATTGCAGGTGTTTCCATAAAAGCTTGGGACAGCCACATTAAGGAAGATGGCCTGAAAGAAAACTGTGCAAATTATACTGAGCACACCTAAAAACATTGTCCTGGGGCAAAACACTGAGCTCACTGCAGAAATGGGGGACCTGCTGACAGGTGAGATTAATGGATGTAGAGCTTTTGGGAGCACCTCCTCCAAGCAAAGCATGGAGTCATGCGAGGGGACAGCATCCCTTTTGGGGTGTATCTGTCTTGTGTGACCCATAGAGCTGCAAGTCCCCAGCAGAATATTTCAGTGTGCCAGAGAGTGCTGCAGTGCTGAGCTCATGCTATGTAAATGATTGTCTGATGAATTATGTGCTGTACACACTACAAACAAATCCTGTCCCGACCAGCCCTGGAAGAAGAGATCACATTCTTGCTGGTGTGTCCTCTGCTCCAGGAAACTTGCCAGGAGGTCACACCATAATTCATGCTCTGCTGATGCTTTGTAAAAGTTGCAGCCTGTGCTGTGGCTGCTGTGCTGCTGACCCCAACATCCGTGTCCCCCTCTCATCCTGGTGGCTGACTGCATCCCCCTGCACGGCCATGGCGAGCCCAGTGTGTACACTGCCCCTCCAGCTGGAACAGCAGCACAGACACCCATCAGCTCAGGAGCAGATAAGGGCTCTCTGCTTTGAGGCTTCCCTGAGCTGGCTCAGCCCCTGCTATGCCCTCCTGCCCCTCGTGGCCTGCAGCTCAATAAAGAAGGCAAAGTGATAATTCATAGGGTTTCTCCTTAACTAAAGAATTCATCCAACCAATTTGAAGAACCTGTTTCCAATAAGCAGTAACGACCTAAAGCTTATCAGCACTTAAATTAAGCTGGTTCAGGACTTGCCGTAAAGCAGTACTGTTGCATCTTCCTGGAGATAGAGCCTGAGAACCAGGAGGTTTTCTATAGTGAAGAGGTAGGCTGATGGTATAGGATGGCAGAGGAATTTCAAAATAAATTAAAATAGGCTAAGATGGAGTGGTAGGCTTGGGGCAGAATGGTGAAAAAGAGTTTGGTAACGAGGGTTTCCTTCTAGCTCCGTACAGGAAGATCCCCAAACAAATCCTGCTCTTGGAAAAGGCCAAGGTAAGGTGCAGAGTGGGGCAGGAGGGCAGGTGGGGTATAAGCTGCTTGCCTGGTAGTGCTGCTCTGATTTTTTGGAGGTTTCTGCTGCCTTGGAGGTTCATTTGGGGGACTGAAATCTCTAGCCTGTGTGACCCAAGTGTGGGTCAAGAGTGACACCCTGTGGACAAGTTCCTCTTTTCCACGTCTCCTCCAAGATTTCTCTCCTGCTGCTGCACTTTATTTATTCACCTCCCTTACGGCTTTCTTGCTCCCCAGCCCCCCCTACTTGCACACCTTTGTTTGCGCCCTGCTCACGCAGGTGTTCCTGCTGCAAGCTCAGCCAGCACCAGGCACTGCAGAGTGATCAGTGTTTCTCACCCCTAAAAAGTGAGGAGATGACGGGGGGAAAAAGCCCCCAGTCCCCATTTTGTTCCACTTATTTATTTAATTTTTCCCTGTGCTGCAGTTGGTTTCATCTGTACACCTCTGAGCCCAGCTGGCCCTCCTGGCCCCCATCGGGTGCCTCTGCTTTCCTGCAGTGCTTCAGCTAACCCTGGTTCCTCTGCTGTGCAGCTCATCAGCTGGATCGTGGTGCGCTTCTGGGGCTCGTAAATTGAGCTGCTGCTCTCAACATTTGGCAAGCATGAGCCCAGACTGTCTGTTGTTGCACTGGGAGAGAATCTGCGTGGGTTTCCCTACAGTCACCCTCATGCCCTGGGTGAAGATTCCTGTCAGAACACAAGAATTTGTCCAAAAAAAAAAAAAAAAAAAAAAAAAAGTATTACAGAAACTGCTTCTCCTCTGGTCACCATAAAGGACCCTTCCCAATCTCAGGCCTGTTTGCTGTGGTTGGACTTCACTGTCCCCAGGGAGCAAAACCTTGTATCCCAGAAGAGGCTGATTGACACCAGCTGACAACCTGGCCATGCTGCTTCCAAAAAAAATAAAAAATAAAAAACCTAACAAAGGCACTGCTCTATTTTAAGCTGCAAATAATTCACTTTTATATTGGTGAGAAATTCCTCATCACTCATTTAGTTACGTGGGTCTAAAAGAAACCATACTGTTTTGGCATGCCTGTGTGCTGGGAGTGGGAAAGAAGGGGGGTGTCAGAACCCTTCCAGAAGTTTTTGTCCTTTCTTACCATGGTGGTTTTGCCCTGCCAAATCTGCACAGACCTATATATATCCAAAAGCTAAGGCGGGATGGAGATTCCTTAATGCCTGCAAAAGAAGCAAATATAAAGGCAGTATTTTTTTGTTCCAGTGGCATTTATATGTTGTCATTAACTCTGCTTTAACTGTTGTAGTTTAAAGCTTTCAGAAAACATAGCTTCAGCAGCACCAACTACCACATGTTTTTGCTGACAAGAGATGCAGGGTTTGCCTGGACAGCCCATGTAGTTTCTCTGCCTTTTCCATAGTATTCAAAAACCTGGAGAGGAAGAGATCCCATTGAGCAAACAATCATTATTGCTGTTCGTTTGCCATTTTTGGCAACGTAGGCCCTAGTGTAGCATCAGAGAATCCTTAGAGTTGGAAGGGACCTCTGAAGGCCACCTAGTCCAACACCCCTGCAAAAGGCTGCACCCTTGCTAGATTAAGAGCTGTATAGCTCAAGTCTCTTATTCCAGTCACTGGGACTTTGTAGAACAATATTAGGTCAAAATTAACTGAGTTTTGGGGATGAGCTGTTTTTCCAACCATTCTCGTGTCCCACTATGTGTTGTGTCCCATGCTTTGAGATTAGGAGGTTGCACCCTGGCAGGCACTGGAAACAGAAGGCACAGAAGGAAACAAAAAGGCTGAAAAGCTCCAAAACAGATCTGCATTGTCCCTGCACTTACTGGGCAAGAGTGGCCAGGTGGTTGTGTTGAATTCAAATAAGCAAACAGTAATATGAAGGTTGTGGCAGTGAAAACTGGAGGTGAGAGACCTCAATGTGAGCATGAGAAAGCTGTGCCTTGTCTCCAAGAGTGACCAATCCAAAATTCCTTTTCCTTTAGGAACAAAGATTGTGTTGTGGTGGGAGGCGTTTCAAATGGCTCCTGACTCAGATTCTGCTCTGCTTGCAGAAAGGTGCCTTCGTGTCTCCATTTGGTTTTACATGGTGGGAGGATGCAGCTGTGTGCTGTGGAGCAGGTGACATAGTTCACCCCAGAGATGGCTGCAATTTGCAGGAAATCTATTGCTTGTAATCTTCATAATTGCATCGGATGTTCATGCTAAAGATGTGCAGCCCTGGGTTAGCCTCACGACGAGGGCCTCGGGGGGAGCTTTGCAGTCATGCAGGAGCTCAGATATGACAGCTATTGGCAGAGCTAGAAAGAGAGTCAGACCGTAATGGTCCGTTTTGGAATTTAAATTTGGTGGATTTGAGGTAAATAACGTAACTGAGCTGCCTGGTTTTCAAAGGATGGTTTTCTTCTTTGGAAAGTACAGTATGTTTTTGGAAAGCGTACAGGCATCTTTCAGGATGGAGGCCTCTGTGCAACAATCAAGTTTTTACCTTTTAATTAACAAAGCTTTATAAAGAATTTCAATTCAGAATTACTAAACAAAGAAACTATACAAGCCCCAGATGATATCTAAACAGTTTCCAAAAGACATTAAAAAAGAGAAAAATACCAGGCCACATGTTTTTTCTTATGTCTCTTGAGTCCATTTATTCCAGACATCTGACATGCAATTCAAATTTCCAATAGTTTTAGGTAACCATGTCCAATTTAGAAACCGCAGCCTTCAGCTAAGCCTACCTACCTACAAATCAGTCTAGAAAAGCAGAGCACTTGCTGATACTATGCATTTTCAGATTTGCAGAGCTTTGTTATGTGTGTGCCATACATACTTGAGTTTTCTGGCTCTATGCAATCCATTTAGCTATATTTCATAGACTTGTAGTCAGTGGTCACAGTCAGATAAATTATAGTTCCTAATGGAGGGCTTGTTTGTGCTCTCAAAGAGTAAAACCACTATAAAATTGATCTCCTCTTTTGAGATGCCTTTGACAGGGGCTGTCGTATGGCAGTTCAGATGAGATGGAAGCAAAGGGCTCCCTGTGGATGGAGGACTAATGAACTTTATTTCTGGCTTGGAGACTAGGATTGAATTCTTAACTTCCCGATGCCTGAGCTTTCTTTTCTCAAAAGTGGAGACTAAGGAGTGTCTTCATGATGGACAAATGCAAACTTCAGAGGAAATCCAAAGCTTGGGTGTGGATAAATAATGTCTTACTGTGTGCCCTTCCCTAATTCCCTGCAGCAAACAGCTGGGTGGTGTTTTCAGGGCATCTTAGATGATGAGGCAGGGAAGGCATGGGACACCACAGCTGCATTAGGCACTGGTTTCCACTTCACTTTTCTCACTTTGCTCCATAAAACCCCGGTCATCCACCCCCAGCAACCTGATGGATGTCACCTGGAGAGGTTCCTGCAGAGGTCATCATCAAACATCTACTCTTTCAGGGCCCTGAGGAAATTCTACGAGGCCAGGTGTTACTTCCCAGAGAGCATGGCTGAACAAAAATTATGGAGCAGTTTCTCTGCTGCTAAACTCCAGACTCAGCAGAGACTTTGTCAGCCTTGAGCAGTGAATCCTATTCGGCTGGGAAGTGGCCGTCACTTCATCCTGTAATCTTTCATTCGTCTCATCTATTTTTATCTTTCCAGTTCTCTTTCCAGTGGGAGCGCTCATAGGCAGTCACAAACTCTGCTACTGGGGGGAAAATAGGATTTGAAACAAATTTGTCGCTGTTAATTTCTTTCAAATTGTTTCATGAGTCAGAGGATGCAGCTCTCAGTGGTGAAACATCTGTTCATCTGCAGCATAAAGGCAGCCTCTGACACGGTGACTGGGAAGAGGCCAAGAGTGGAGGAGACGAGCTCCGGTAGGGATCAGGAACTGGGAGGGCAAAGGAGAGAGCTGGAAAAGTCACCTGCCTGAGCATTCTGATACCCCCCGATGGTATTATGTGCGCATCCCTTCCAGTCTCCTGCTTGTGGAGGTGACATGGGCAGAGGCAATAAATTTTCTTACAGATAATCATAGAATCATGGCCTGGGTTGAAAAGGACCACAATGCTCATCCAGTTTCAACCCCCTGCTGTGTGCAGGGTCATCAACCAGCAGCCCAGGCTGCCCAGAGCCACATCCAGCCTGGCCTTGAATGCCTGCAGGGATGGGGCATCCACAGCCTCCTTGGGCAACCTGTTCCAGTGCCTCACCACCCTGTGTGTGAAAAACTTCCTCCTAATATCTAACCTAAACATTGCCTGTCTCAGTTTAAAACCATTCCCCCTTGTTGCATAAGATAAAATGAAGAAAGCTGAGGACAGAGGAAAGAAAGGCTTGTCATGTCTGTTTTCAGGATAGCCATGGACCATCCAACTAGCCAAGGGCATGTGGAAAGAAGGGTGATTTTGATGATGTTGGAAACCAGCAGTGCCAATTGCCATTCTTTGACTCCATTGACAGCCAGACTCATTGGCTGGGTGGGAGTTGTGCTGCTATTCATCAGCAGGCCCTTAAAGGCATGGTGTGCAGAATTAAATGCATTCTGAGCAGACAACAAGTGGCCAGGTTATGGCTGGAGAGCAGGAACACAGCAACGCACTTTCTTCATCCTCTTTTGCTGTATATCCAAGGGCTGAGAAGCAGAGAGAGAAATGCTGAGTCTGCTAAAAACTGTTCAGATACTTGTGGGTGCTTGGAGAAGTTGGCTTACAATTACGAGGCCATTCTCTCTGCTGGCAAATTAACAACTTAGGAAAAATTACAACAGGAGAGAAAAAGAAAATGAAAAAAAAGACATGAAAATTCTGCTAATGAAACAGAACAATGAAAATCAAAGCTAAAGATGGAAGAAACTGAGTGGGCCCCATCCAATTCATTCCCTGCTAGGCTGGATTTCTGCCTATAGTAATTTATGCCATAGCCTTAGAAGTGAAAACAGATTTCATTTACTACTGAACACTACTACTCTGTGCAGACAGAGTTCATGGCCTTGCAGCATTTCTGAGGAGGTACTGTAGGATTATTGCTCCCACTTTGCAGATGGACGAGGTAATGCCACTCGAATTCTTTAATTTAGGCTCTGGTGATGGGAAATCTGAATGAAGACTGGGGTTCCTGAGGGCTGTCTCCTTGTCTCCTGTCACGTTGCCTAGCCACCTTGGGAAGTATGGAGATTGCAGAGGTACAGTTAAAATTGGTGTTTGTGTGCATGAGGCACTGCTTGAAGGTCATTCCCTCTGCAGGAGTTTGTTATTCAGTGGTCTGATGGGATAATCAGGTGGAATATACTCCTCTGATAGATAGAAATCAACATTCAGCTTTAACTAAACCGTAAGATAGAAGAATGCTCGAAATTCTGGCTTGCTTTTCCTTTCTACTAGTCTCACGGCATCAAAGTAGAGCTCAAAGGAAGGCTGCTTCTACCCTATAGGACTGGGATGGTGTTGGTGGGCCTCTGCTTGCTCACAGCACCACCTCTGCCACAGTCACAAACTTTCCCCAGGGAGCTGAGCCTTGAGAAACACACACATTCTGTTGCACAAATGGCAAAAAGCAGGTAAAATTAGCATTTGGAGGAAAGTTCTTGTGGAAAAAAACTATATGTTCCCTGAGAGCCAAATGAAAAAGAAAAAAAAAAGCTCTCAAACCCAAGCTTGCAGAGTCTGCTGTAATTTATGATATACCATATGAATCTAACTATAGAACTTCATTTAAAAATTTTATAAAGACTGTAAATCTACAGTGAAATGTTCTAGGGACAATCTGCTGGCAGTAACATGCACTCTACAGACTGACCTATGGGAGAAACTGTTTGTCAAGGGCTTGATCCAAAGCCCGCTGAAGACAATGGAAGTACTCTCATTGACGTCAGTGGCCTTTAGATCAAAAAGCCCCAAAAGCCCAACACAGAAAAACGAGTAGTAAGGAGAAGCAAACCACTGTAATCAATAGACACTGCTGTACGAGGGTCTTTAACAATAGCTTAATGGGCTACAATGAGCTTCTTTGGACACTTTTATTTTGCGTTGTATATAGCTTATAATCTTTATCCTGAAACTTCTAATGGAATTTATCTCACTGGAGAATTTAGGAGAACATCTGCTGCAAATGATGGGTAAAGACATAAGCTGTTGTGGGTGGGGTGAGCCTCAGGAGGTTCGCAGTTTGGGTTTGGCTTCTGCTTCGGATTCTTATCTGAACTATACAGATCTCCTGTGGCTGCAAAAATTGGACTGGAAATCACAAGAGTATGAGACTTCTTGTGAGATTTCCAGCACTTTTCTTATGGTTTTGACTGAACACCAGATGTGGAAAAAATATTTAACAAAACTGGATACAGTTTTATTCGTGTCTGGTTCTAGAAAGAGATGAAGGTTCAGGAATCTAATTTTATCCTTTCCAGTTTCACTCATTGGTTAGATTAAATTGTAGGTTAAAAAAAAATAAATAAAAAAAATTGCAATTTAGGCCCAAAATTTAGCTATTGCAACCAGTCCCTGAAGAATCGTTCAAGTAGATGAAATCCTAAACATTACATTGATCACAAACAGAATTAAAACCGTATGCCTTTGGCAAGTGGAGTGCAAAGAATGATCAGGGTGAATGGTGACCATTAGGAAACGTCCACTAATATTCT